GAAGGAAGGAAGGAAGGAAGGAAGGAAGGAAGGAAGGAAGGAAGGAAAGTGAGAGAGAGAAAAAGAGAAAGAAGAAAGAAATGGTTTTAAGGAAATGATCTTCCCAAATAGTCTTATGGGTAATTTCGACCATGATAAAAATAATGTTGTTCTACTTTTGCGAATTTCAATTACTTACCATTTGATAATATGCAGTGACCCCGGACATTTTTTATCTTCTCGAAGTATTTTTAAACTGAGGTCTACAAAAATAGAAACACAGTCTATTTTCCTCTACTAAATGATTGCTGTACTAAAATTGTCCATGCTAAATAAGGATATTTCCTTTAACTATTTTATTTGCATAACTTAGTTTTATAGCTTATAAAAACATTTTGAATCTCTAAATATCTACTTTAGAAATAAATTCTATGTTGATGATTAGCTTAGTTCCAATTTTGATTATAGTCTAGCAGTCTCCCCTTCTACAATGCAGCACAACTGAGTTGGCTGCAAAATCAATTTGTGTTACTTCTTTGCTTCCGTTGAATTTCAAGTAATCATAAGGTATTACTGAGACCATTTCCATTAACCAATTTAAAACATGTACCTCAAGTCTCAAGTCACTTCTCTCATATTTCTCTCCCTCTCAATGAAAATACAGAAGAAAATTCTTCCCATGGATTATTCTCAAATATTAATTTCCATCTGAAATTCAACCGCCTTACTATAGTCAGAGAACAGGAAAATCATATTAAAAGAGTTTTAGCTTAGAGGTGCCTAGGTGGCTCAGTCAGTTAAGCGTCTGACTTTGACTGGCTCAGGTCATGATCTCGCCGTTCATGAGTTCCAGCCCCACATTGGGCTCTGACAGCTCAGAGCCTGGAACCTGCTTCAGATTCTGTCTCCCTTTCTCTCTGCCCCTCCCCCACTTATGCTTTCTCTCTCTCTCTCTCTCTCTCTCTCTCTCTCTCAAAAAGTAAATAAATAAATAAACATTAAAATTCTTTTTATTTTTTTATTTTAACGTTTATTCATTTTTGAGAGACAGAGACAGAGCATGAGTGGGGAATGGGCAGAGAGAGAGGGAGACACAGAATCCGAAGCAGGCTCCAGGCTCTGAGCTGTCAGCACAGAGCCCCACGTGGGGCTCAAACTCATGAACGGCGAGATCATGACCTGAGCTGAAGTCAGATTTTCAACCAACTGAGCCACCCAGGCGCCACCCCCTAAAAAAATTTTTTAAAAGAGTTTTGGTATAGATCACTCTAAAATCAATCACTGATATGGGTATGACTTTGCATGTCACCTCACCTTTTCATGTTGTTTTCCTGTTCTAAAATTGATGTCTCCTCTATCTCTATTGAGATACATGAAAATTACTCCATATTGGTATAATATTTAGAGATTACCAAAAAAAGTGACATAGGAGAACTGAACATATTTATGATGTATGCTACTTTAAGTACAAACATTGAGAGGGAAACATATAACCTCCACTAAAATTATCACAAAAAATAAAGCCATAAGTAATAGTGTTACCCATGTTGAATGAAAGAAAGAGAGAGAGACAGAGAGAGAAACAGAGACAGAGACAGAGACAGAGACAGAGAGAGAAAGGGCCTGAAATGGAAACACTTGCCCCCCACAAAGAGCAAACCAAGACTTAATTGCAGGAATGTAAACTTTAACCAGTCAATCTGGAATTTTCTGATCAACCCTAGTGAGGTAATCTGCAGGATAGACCCCTGCCTTTTCCCCACCCCCCCAAGGAAGGTGACCCTGCCTGATACAAACTTTTCTTTTCTTTTACTAATGACTTCCTTGTGCCACCCTGCCTATAATAGTTTTCCATTTTGTACAGCTTCTTAGAACTATTTCTATTTGCTACATTGGATATTGCACTATTCATGAATTATTGAATAAAATCAATTAGATCTTCAAATGCATTCAGTTGAATTTTGTTTTTTAACATTTCATCCCCTCACCATGCCTAGGGTAGTTAGTGACTGACGCACAATAAACCCTTAATTACCCCAAAAATGTCTTTTTCCAATTTTTCCCAATTCTGTTCCAAATGAAGAGCAATGCAACTCTGTGCTACATATAAACATATTCACAATTACAGATTTATTTTCTATAGATCAAAAGAAGACATGACACAAATGAAGTTGTCATGACTGCAAATATCATGTTTTTGTATTTATAGCACCACAGCCTTTCATTGATGCTAGTATAGAGAATCAAATGTTAAGAAAATTAAATTGGAATGAGGCCAAGGTATATCATTAAATACAGATGTGAGGAACTTTAAGTTAGATCTTGAAAAATATGATCTTACAAGGAAACTTCTAGCTCTTTACATTTATTTTCCTAAATGATAGTTCCCATTTTAGTGACAAATCAGCAAGATTTTTCTGAATTGTTATCACAATTCAGCTTTTAAAGCTAATAAAAAATATTCTAAAAAATTGAAGAGTCCTAGGTACATTTTTTTTTCTTTCAATACAAGAGAAGGAAAGGAGCCAGAAACAGCTTGTAATATAAGGAAATGAGATCATAAGTTTAAGACACAAGAAATAAAAGAGAGGAAAGTAGGAGACCTGGCAATTGAGAAAAGAAAAGCACTATTAGAATAATAATTGTCTCTCCATGTTTATCAACAAATGGGTTTGGCATGAACATGCTTTTCTTCCAGCATATTTATATGTGTCAACAGTATGAAGAGTTTTTCACCTGGCTGCATTAAACTTCCTCAATGCCAAAGTAAACCTCAGAAAACAAACTCAACTGAGGCACAAAATAGTGCAAATCTACAGCGCCCAAATAGATTTTGATCCAGCTGCTGCTTTTATAGGTATGGTTTAGAATTACTGGGCTTGCCTATACAGATTTATTTTCTTCTCAGTCTGTCATTTGGTATCCAGCTAGGAAGTAATGATTCCTATAAGTAGAACCACTAAACATAGTTAAATTAAAATGGAAAATGAGGGGCGCTTGCCTGGCTCAGTTGGAAGAGCATGCAACCAACTCTTGATCTTGGGGTTGTAAGTTCAAGCCCCATGTTGGGTATAGAGATTACTTAAAAATAAAATCTTTAAAAAAAAAAAAGGAAGGAGTGCCTGGGTGGCTCAGTCGGTTGAGTGTCTGTTGATCTCAGCTCAGGTCCTTGGCCTCAGGGTTGTGAGTTCAGACCCTGTGTTGGGCTCTGCTCTGGGCTCAGAGCCTACTTATAAATAAATAAATAAATAAATAAATAAATAAATAAATAAATAAATAAATAAATAAATAAA